GGGAGGTAAAGAAAACTAAGGAACGTAGACTAAGGGGCTGCACTGTAGCTCAGCAGGTTACGGTGCCACCTGCGACACTGGCACAGGTTCAAGTCGCAGCTGCTCCACTTCTAATCCAGCTCCTTGCTAATGTGCCTGGGAAAGCAGTGGAAGACGGCCCAAGTGCTTGGGCCCCTGCATTCACATGGGTGACCCAGAAGAAGCTCCTGGCTGCTGGCCTTTGGCCTGGCCCAGCCCTGGCTGTTGTGACCATCTGGGGAGTGAACCCAAAGATAGAAGACGTCTTTCTATCTCTGTCACTCTGCCTTTCAAATAGATAAATAAAATCGTTTTAAAAAATAGACTTTACTTTTAGAGCAGTTTTAGGTTCTGAGGAAGGTAGAGCAGAAGGTACGGCGATGTCTGGGGGTCCCTGACCCCACAGACATAGCTTCTCCCACTGCCAACATGCACCATCCCAGGGACGGGGGTCTGGCTCAGTAGAGAAGATGCGCATCCCACATCCGAGCACCCGGGCCTGGGTGCCAGCTCTGCTTCTGATTCCATGCACCCTGGGGGCAGCAGGTGGTGGTGCAGGTGGCTGGGTCCCTGCCACCCACGTAGGAAACCTGGATTGAATTCCAGGCCCTGACTTCAGTCTGGCTTAGCCCTGGACCTCTGCGGGCCTTTGGAGAGTGAGCCTGTAGATGGGAGCTCTCCATATCTCCCTCTCTCTCCCTCTCTCTGTCCCTCCCTCCCTCCCTCTCCCTTTCCCTCTCCCTTTTTCTCCCCCACCATGTCAAATATGTAAAAATTTTTAAAAAGTACCATACCGACATGGCACGCTTGTTGCCACTGGTGCACCTGCAGGGACCCCCGTCATCATCCGCACCCCATAGGCAACTGGATCATCTGACATCGGTTGGGTGCTTTCTGTGCTGGCCTCTGTGCTGCTGACCGAGTTCCAGTGGGAACTCAGGTGAGCCTGACTCCAAAGCGCAGGCTGCTAACCGCTGTGCAGCTGTGTGGCCTGCTGACTGCGCCGTGGTGAGTGGTACGGCGATGAGGAACCCTCCCCCAGGATCTCAATGACAGTCCTAGGAAAGCCAGGGGGTGACACTCAGGGGAGGGAAGCTTCACACAGAGCAGCAGCCCTGGGGACACCTGGGAGGCTCGGGGGAGGGTGGGTGACACCGCCTGCAAGGCCCCTTCTCTCACTTTGATAAACTCAGTTTGGTTCAACCTCCACTGAGCACCTGCTGTGTGCCAGCTCCGGGCTGGGTGAAGGGAACCAATGTGACATGGTCCCCGGGGACCCCTGCCCTAAGTGCCCGTAGTGCCGACGGCCCCTGGCTGGGCTCCGTGACTTGCTGCCCTGGTTGCTCTGGAGGTCCTGGTGGCTGTCTCAGGGCTGGGGATCCCAGGAGCACTGCAAAACGAGAAGGGGTGGGCACGAGGGGGCAGTCAGGCTGGGGACCCCTGCTAGCTGGTCGCTGATGCAGTTACCCCAAAAATGTCTTTGCTCAGTTGGGACCTCCGGGGACAGTCGTCAGGCGGGGAGTGAAGGCTTCAAGGGCACAGGTCCTCCCTCCAGGGCTCTGAGCGAGCTGTCACTCTCCCTGCAGGAACCCAGTCACTTCTCCCAGGTTGGTAAAACCGTGAGCACCCGCATGCCCAGGGGCCTGAGGGACTCCTGCCTGGGCTTTAACCTCAGAATCCCGCTTTCTCATGTGGCAGGTGCCCAGACACCAAGGACCCACAAAGGACCCCAGACTAGCAACCCTGCTTCATGAGGACCACAGGTGTGGCTCTGCCCAGGTACTCTATTTGCCTCCATATGGGGGTCTCCACTGCATTCCAGGTGATGACCTTGACAGTGAAGATAATTGACAGCTGGCACCCAAGTCCTAAGAGCATGAACCCAGCCAGTCGCCCAGCTACTCACCTCCTCAGCCCCCCATGCCTGTCTCAGGGCCTTGCCTCTTTCTCATGATTGACCCCTGAGATGGCCCCGCCTCCACACCAGGTTCTGAATCTGACTGTTCCTTAGCAAGGGCCCAGAGGCTCTGCCAGGTGGCTTGGGGTGGGGCCTGGTCATTTAACTCCTCAGGGACTCTGCTGTGTTGGACGGAGCCTGCGATGTATGTTGAGGATGGCCTGGGACCGGTTCTCAAGCCAAGCATGGCTGTCCTGGCTATCCCAGGACACAGCCTAAGGGGCCAGCTTGGCATGAGATGTGTGTCCTGGGGGACTTTGGTTGGCAGAGGGGAAGGCGGGACAAGGCCAGTGCCTCCAGCTGCTATCTGGGAGTTGATGAACTAGACGGGAGTGGGACAGCAGCCCCAGAGAAACACCTGGCCTGGTTCTGCCACTAAGCCTGTAAACCAAGAGAGAAAACAGGGGGTAGGGGCCAGAGCAGCCAGCACCAAGGACGGTCCCAGGGCTGCGTTCAGCTGTGGGGTGGTGCCCAGGGGGTCCCAGGAGTGGGGGCTGCCTGGTACTCCCCCCAAGCTCTCAGAGGACTTCCTGCCAACTTTCCCACCAACCCATTACCCTCCCACTCTTCCAAACCATCTCAGCTACTTCCTTTTCCAGGAAGTCTTCCTGGATGAGCCCTACCTGACCCCGGGGACTCCACTGAGCATCAGCGTGGCCCCTGCAAGCCCAGTTTATCCCACTGGGCATTATCACTGCTGCGGTGGACAGACCTGGGCCAGTTGGAGCACCCACTAAGGGCAGTGCCCTGGCACTGCTCCCTCCACTGCTCTCAGGATATGGCCCCACCCGGAGCAGCTCAGCTCATGCTGTCTGAGCTGTGGTTGGGCTAAGCCTGGGTTTCCCCTGAGGACTTCAGTTCTCCGTGTGCAGAGGGTGTTAGACTAGGCTGGTCTCTTGAAGAATAATTAACGGAGGATGTTCAATTCTGTTTTTTTTTTTTTTTTTAATTTACTGATTTATTTAAAAGTCAGAGAGAGGGGGAGAGAGAGATCTCCCAGCCACTGGGTCACTGCCCAGATGGGCGTAAAGGCCAAGGCTGAGCAAAGCTCAGCTGAGCCAGAAGCCAGGAACTTCTTCCGGGTCTCCCACATGGGTGCAGGGGCCCAAGCCCTTGGGTCATCCTCTACTGCTTTCCCAGGCCATAGCAGAGAGCTGGATCGGAGATGGAGCAGCCGGGACTTGAACTGGTGCCCTATGGGATGCGGGTGCTGCAGGCGGTGGCTTTACTTGTTGTGCCACAGCGCCGGCCCCGGGATGTTGACTTCTTAAGTCTGCCTGGGATACCCGTTGCACACCTGTGTTTGGGGAACTCTGACACAGCCTTCCAAGGGCCAGGTGAAACATCAGCTCAGAGCCTCCCAAACAACACCAGCTAGCTCAGCCCTGTGCTACACAAAGCTCCGATGGCAACAGCACTGGCGGTTTGGCATCGGGGATCCCTGGGCTCTGACTCCAGGTGTGAATATCTGAGTAGTGCTCATTTGGGCCCCCAAGGACCAAAACGTGACCTAAGTGAATGAATGCATGCATGAAAAAGTCCTTCAGTTTATCAAGTTCTTTTGTTTACCCATGCGCACCTACACACAGCAGGGTGAGGGGATGCAGAGAAAGGCCTCCAGGATCTTCTGCGAGGAGCCACCTGTCCAGGTATCTGAGTCTTGGGCCCATTAGCAATAGCGGGCTCAGGCCAGGTGGTCTCCGAGCGAGCCAGGCAGCTGCTGCCTCTCAGCCACCTGGCTTTGGGGCTTCTGCTCTGAAGAGGGCAGTGGTCAGGGACGGGGCGGTAGGAGCCCCGTGTCTAACTCGGCGGGAGAGCTGAGTGTGCCCTGGACTGCTGGAAGCTCCAGCGTCTTGCAAGGGAGCCAGGCCCCGTGGCCCCAGAGCCTGGGGAAGGGGCGGGGTCTGGCTTCTCCAGCATGGTGCTCCACCCTGGGAGACGGTGTCTGGGCCTAATTGGCTTGCCCTCCTTCCGCTGCCGGAGAAAGTCTTGGCTAATTTGCCGGAACGCTCTAGTTAAATGCCAATTAGAACGTTCTGTCCGCTGTTCTCTTGCAATATATTAATAACGTAATTAAGCATATATTGCCTGCACACATGAAAAATGAACGTAAATGGACAGCCTGGAAAACCGAGGAAGTGACCATCTAAACAACCAATTTGCATCTCATTCGATTATCACTAACTCAACACAGCCCTTCGCAGGGTGCAGGGAGCTGGCCTTCCAGCGAGAGGCCTAGCCAGCTGCCAACAGCTGCCGGCTTTCTCCACGCCCGCCCAAGCCCGAGCCTACCCACCCCCGCCTGTCCGTCCTGCCCAATCCTGGCGTGGAGTACGTGCCTGGCCCCTAACTCGGCAGGAGGGCTTTGACCACCCCTCCCCTCCTTCCAGGGGCTGGCGGTGTGGATTTCAGTGAAAAAAGATGCTACCGGGGGTGGGGGAGATGGGACAACCCCTGAAGCCGCTGCCACTCCACCCCAGGATCGATTTGTCCTGCATTCCAGCCCGGGAGATGGGAAGCAGATGGCGCTGGACTGGGGAGGAGGAGGGAGGCGACCCAGGAACCAGGAAACCTGCCTCCAACCTGTCCTCATGCCCTGAGGAGAAGGGGGCTCCCCTCTGGCCCCTGTCCCCCAGGATGTGTCCCCAACAGGACGGGTGTGACACTGCTGGCTTGCTTTCTGACTCAGATGGGGCATGGCAGGGAGGACAACAGGGAGTGGGGGAACACGGCGGGACAGGCTGCAGCCAGCATGAGCCCCCAGCCACGTCAGGCCTCCTGAAAGGGCCCTCCTGTGCCTGCAGACCCCAACCCTCCCTATTGGACCCTTGTTCCATGGTAGCCTGAGCTCAGCCTCCGTGGGAGGCGCTCCTGCAAGACAGGGGGCGCGCGATGCCCACGTGGGGCCTGCATCCCAGCTGCAGAACCCAGAATCCAGACACAAGGGTGGGGGGCTCCCCATCAGCCGCTGCCCCATGGAGAAGGACCACAGCAGGGCAACCGGAGAGACACACGGCCAATGGGCTTGTTTTAAACACTTTATTTATAAAAAAGTACATTTTTTTCCTCAGTACATTTTTCAACCCATCTTTTTTTTTATACAAGTAAAAGGGGGTGAGGCAAGCACCCCCTGGGAGGGAACCAGGAGAATCTGCTGGGCTGTCCCCAGGACCAAAGACGAAAACGGTGACAGAGGAACCGAAGCAAAGGGGGCGACTCGCACGTGAGGGGAGGGGGCAGCTTCTCCTGGATTTTGTTGCATTTATACAAAAAAGGAATTATCAACTTTTTTTAACCAAGAATCCCATTCCTCACAGCAGGGGTCAGGAGAGCAGCAGCAGCACCGGGTGGGGCAGTGGCAGCGAGGCCCCAGGCGCCATGCCTGGGCCACCCCTGGCCCAGGGAGGGCTGTGAGCCCATCTATGGCCAGAGCAGGTTTCCCTGTGGGTGTGGGGGCCGCACGCCCCTCACCAGGAGAGGGTTTCTGTTGGCAGTCAGGTTTCGGGGGCCTCTGTCTGGACCCCCGGAGGTCTGAAGGCACCCCCTCCTCCCAGGGGAGAGGCCACCAGTGTTTGCGGGGCTACCCACAACCACCTAGCTTAAGTCCTGGTTTTTCTGCTTTGAGGACGGCAGAAAAGCTACCGCACCAGCGCAGTGGGCACACGGGGTGTGGTGGCAGAGGGGGCGCACGCCCAGGCCACAGGGCCTCGGGGCCCGCTCACAGCCTGAGCGCTGGGACACAGATTCTCCTTGGGATCAGCCCACTCCCCTGCCGGGTCTCTACCTGTGCTCAGTGCCCATGCAGCCGTGCGCGCGTGTGTGCGTGTGCGTGTGCGCGCACACGCCTGTGCTCGGCTCTGTCGGGGGTGTCTGTGCGTGCTCGCATGCACGAGTGCTGGGCCCGGGGCGGCCGCCCGTGCATGCCTGTGCTCACCAACTCGGTGCTGCTACTTCCAGCTCCTCCTGATAGAGGGAACCCAGACGGTTCGATGACACCTTAGGACAAGATCAAAATCTGCAAGGGGAGGGGAGGGCAGAGAGGCAGGATGACAGGCGGGGAGGCCTTGGCACAATGAACACCGGGCTTGTTTCAGTTCCTGCAAAGCAGCAGCTCAGCTCCTGCTGGGCCATGAAGAAGCAAGCGTCCTCTGTCTGGCGGGCCGGCCAGGCTCCCTTTGCCAGCGGGCTGCCCACGGCCCCAGCAGGACCATTGGTCCAGAAAACCCAGTTGCTCTAAGCCCAAGTGCTGACCCCTGCCTGTGCCCTCCCATCCCAGGGCAGCAGCCGCCCCAGTGGGTTGGGCTGGAGCAAGGCAGGAGCCTCCCATGAGCCTTTGCTGCCCAGACCCCATCACTTGTGCTTTGCTTGGGCAGTGGGGGGAGGGGAGGGAGGTGTGGGGGGTCTTAAGGAGGCCTCAGTGCTTTGGGGGGGCCCTGGCCTCCTAAGTCCATCCAGGAGGAGGAACAGAGAGTGGCAGTGCAGGACAAGGGAGACACGGGAGGAGGAGTCATTTCGGTCTCGTGCTTTCAAGGGGACAGGGAAAACGCCTCTGTCAGGCGGGCCCCTGGGGTTACCCCTTGCCTGGGTACAAAGGGACCAAGCGGAGGAGCGAGAATGGCATGAGGAGGGGTGGGGTCGTGATGTAACATGACGAGGTCCCCTGCCCTAAGGGGACACTAACACTGCTGGGAGAAGCAGTGCCGCTCCTCCACCTCCCCCTGCCCCATGGCTAGAAAGGCCCCGAAATATTCTCCCCCAGCTCCACCCTGCGCACTGCCCACAATGCCAAGAGGAGAGAACCGCCCGGGGCTGGCATGGCTTCAGACTTCTGCTACGTGGCTACTGGGCAGCCTGGGCTGGGGCTGGGGCAGTGAGGGCCAGGCCGGGCGGCCTCGCTGGGGGCCAGGGTCACACAGGTGGAGATGGAGCTCGGGTGGCGTTCAATAGCAGCACCAGGCGGTGGGGTGTGTGTGTGTGTGTGTGTGTGTGGCTCCCATAGGAAGCCTGAGGCTGGGCGGACAGTGCCTGTGGGGCACTGGTGTCTGCCTCCTGTCCCCTAACACTTGCTGTCCCCCGGAGCTCGCGTTGGCCTGGCCTGAGCTGACAGGCCCCTAATGGGCAGGCACAAGGGGCCTTGGAGCCAGCCTGTCCCACCCCCGGGTCTTTCCCATGTGTGAGCTTGTCTATAGAGTGCCGGGGAACCTGGGTGGCAGAGGGAAGAACTGAGGCACTTTGAGCTGGGGGACGGAGAGAGAGCTGGGAGGGGCCTTCCTCCATTGCATCCAAGGGAAGACCCAGGCAGGCCTAGGGTTGCCAGGTGCCCAGAGGCCCACACCAGCAGGAGGGCTTCTCAAGGCTGTCCCTCGCCCCAGGGAACGGAGAGGGGGTGAGCAGGTGGTTCCCTGGTTGTGCCACCCCATCACACTTCTGCCAGCCCCGGGATCTCGAGTGGGCATCCCCATGTACCCTCAGACTGTGTCCGTGGCTCTTCTCTGCGCTTCTCAGCCCTGGCATCTCGCTCCTGGAGGAAATCCCCTGCTGGGACCCCAGCCCCGACTTTCCAAGAGAATCGAGCACTTATGGGTAAGGGAGAGGTCCAAGAAACATTGGTGCTTAAGGAAGAGAGGGAGCAGACAGGCCGGGCCTTGGGCAGCGTCTGTGGGCCCAGGCACAGTGAGTGGGTGTGTGCGCGTGCATGTGAGCGTGAGCTGGCAGGGGGTGTGAACAGAGTCTTTAACAGAGTCTGCCAGGAGCCCCCCGCGCTGGGGTCAGACAAGGGGAGAGTGAGACACATCAGAGTTGGTCCAGCAGGACTCCCCACAGGCCAATGAAGAAATTATGTGAAATCAACGTCACCAGGTAAACACACTGCCCCAGGTCCCAGGTAGGGACCTCAACTGGATTCCTGGAACAAACAAGATCTCTCCCCTTGGGTGCATTGGACGAGCCACCCCCACCCCTCACCCGTTGGGTGTACCTGCTGTCTAGGGGGGTGGGTTCCTTCTCCCAGGGAGAAGCAGCATCTGGGGTAGGGGTGGGGCTCTTCCTCCTGAGCCCCCTCAGCCCTCCACCCCCAGTGAAGAGAACACAAATTCCAGTGTTGGGGGGTGGGGGAAGGAGATACAGCAACACCAAAGCCACGGTCAACACAACACCATGGGGGGGGGGCAGGAACAAAAACAAAGCCGAGTCCTCTACCCTGGGCTGCCCTGCTCCCTGGGAGCTGGGGGCTGGCTCTAGGCAGTGGAGCGAGTCTCTGCGGAGCTCCAGGAGGGGTGCGGGTGGGGGGGCGTGCGGCGTGCGGGGCGGAGTTGGGGAGGGGCGGGCGCAGACAGACGCTCCAGAAGCGGGCTACACGTACCACTCCTTCTTGGAAATGAAAGACCCGTCGTTCTGAGAAACCATGTTCTCAGCCAAGTCCAGTTGTTCAGGGTCGTACTGGTAGCCCAGAGTCCGGTCCCCGTAGCCGTCCTGCCGGGCCTCGGCCTCATCCACCGTGAAGTAGGGCCGCTTGGCGTCCTCGTCGTATTTGGGGTGGGGGCCGCCCACCTTGCGCTCGCCCCCTCCGCCCTCCTCCTCCTCCTCCTCCTCGTAGCTGCTCCCGCCCAGCGGGCCGGCCTTCTTGTCATCGTCGGAGTCATCGGGGTACTGCAGGTTCTGCGCCATGGGCGGGTGGTGCTGGGGGATGCCCGCCTTGCTGTAGCCGTTGCCGTACACGTGCTTCTTGGTGCTGTAGTCGCCCTTGAAGGTGTGCCGGCGCCGGCGCAGGGCCACCACGATGCCGCCGACCACAATCAGCACCAGCAGGACGCTCCCCGCCACGCCCCCAATGATGGCCGTGGGCACCGGCCCGGCGCGCCGCCCATGCTCGGGAGGAGACGGGGTGTAGGGAAATTCTGGGAAAGGAAAAGAGAGGGAGGGGACAGAGTCAGAGTCTGCTCCTGGGGCGGCACCAGGGGTGGGAGGAAGGGGGGAAAGCGATGGGGAAAAAAAGCAGGGTGGGAAACGGGGGCGGGGGCAGGCAAGGTTTGAGCAGCTCCCGTTCCAGAGGCTCCTGGGCACCTGCCGGGAGACCCACTGTGCAGCAGCACTGGTGGCCAGAGCAGAGAGAGGCAGGAGACAGCACCCGTAGCACCAAGGCCTTCCATCCTGTCCCGGGAGTGGGTGCAGGCCCAGCTCTGCCCCTGGCCGTGGTGCAGAGGTCCTCACGCACAGCACCCACAAGCCACCATGTGCTGTCACCACCCTGGGAAGCAGGGGTGTGGTTCATTTCTTCTGCGCACGAGGAGGCCAGGCACAGGGAGGTTCGCAAGGGGCCGCAGGCCGCCGAGCCTGTGACGCAATGCTGCTTCTCTTGCATATGGAGCCTGTGCAAACGTCTCGCGAGTCCCTCAGCATGACACCATTGCCCGGCTTCAGGGGCCCAGAGTCCAGGGCTAACGCCCAGAAGACGGCCTGTACGTGCCCACCAGTGGCCAGGGTTGTGGCTCTTGGCTGCAGTCTGGCCCTGCAGGGCAAGGTGGGGGACCCAGCAGTGCTGCCAGCCTGGGCTACAAGCACAGTCACCCAGGAGGGCAGGGTGCAGGCACAGAGCAGGGCTTTGTACACACACAGCAAAGATGCTGAGGACATGGCGCCTGCCATGGCAGGTGCGTCCACACAGCTGGGGGCTCACAGGACGGAGTTGAGTGCTGAACATGGATGCACCGACACACGCACACTGTGGACAGAGTGGACACGAGGAGGCAGGAAAGGCGAGGAGAGGATGGAAGTGGGTGGGAGGGGACAGGAAGCTGACTTGAGTGACTTTCTGAGCCAAGGGGGTGGGGGTGGGGGCAGGCCTCACTATTCTGCTCTGGGCCAGGCCTGGGGCCAGAGGTCCTACAGTGAGGCTACGGGAGGCGGTTCCCAGCACTACCACAGGGTGGCACCGGAGACCATGGCTGGCCTGGTCCAGAGGCACTGGGGTAGGACCAGAGGGCTGACCTCCACTGCTCTCTCCGGGCCAAGTTCAGGCCAAGGTAACAGCACCGGGTCTGGATTTCTGTCCGGGCCCCTGGGAGCCTACTGCTGCCAGCTCAGTCCTCGATTCAGCATCACTCACAGCATCGGAATCGGGCTGCTCCCGAGAGCCTGTTCCGCCTGGGTGGGGCCGGCCCTGTGGGGTGTGTAGGGTGCTGTCTGCGGCAGGCAGCAGCAGGGTGGAGATTCTAGGAAAGAGGAAAGGCTTTCCTGGAGTTCAGGCTGGCAGGGCTCCTGAGAACACAGGGGCCTGGAGAGTGGGAGGCCGTTTGGCCCAGGTCACGTGGCTGAGCCGGGCCCGGCCCTGGGCTCCTGTGCCCGGGCCTGCGCATGCAGGAGCTGGCAGCCGGAAGCGCTCCCCACTTGTCACCACCCTCAGGTCACTGTTTACTGAATCTCTGCTTATCTGCTGAAGAGTCTCCTGGGGGCCTGAAGCTTCTGCAGGCTCCCCAGGTCCCCGTTTGTTTACTGCCTTAAAGGGGCCTGCACCTGCTCCCCAGGAGGTGGGAGGAGGAGCCCCGCCCTGCTGCACTGTTAACCTGCCTGCTCCCTCTTCAGGTCTCCCGGATGTGAACCATCTCTCCCTCTGCACCTGCCTTCTGCTCCACCCCTCCCACACCCCCCGCTGACCCCTGCACCCAAGGGATCGGCACACGCGTACTGAGCATCTGTCTGGCTAGTCACAGGATACAAGCATCTCACAGCCTAGCTGGGAACCGAATGCCACTCTGAGGCACAGAGCCGTGGGAGATGTCAAGGGAAAAAGCAGAGAAACGCTCGGGAGTGCAGCAGAACGAGAGCTCCGGGGCTTGGAGTTAGGAACTCTCCTTGGAGGAGGCTGGACTTGGCCCAGCCTTGAGGGATGCTAGGGACCTGCAGAGGCCAAGGGGATAAGGACGGCACCAGGGTGGGAGCTGCCTCTTCTCCTGACACAGGGTTCCTGGGTCCCCGGCTGCCCTCGCCCAGGGCTCTGTCTCTGGCTGCCTCGCTGGGCTCTCTCTCTGCTCCATCGGGCTCCCTGGAGGCTCCACCCGTGGATCTTCCACCCTGACTCTGCTTCCTTTCCTGGTGGCAGACTGATCTGCTTCATTTATTACCTTTATCCTGATGGCTGTCGCCCAGCTCTGGGACTTTAACTCCAAAGGCCTCTCGGATGCCATCTCCCCAACTGTGGCCCACAGAACCTCCAACCACTTGCTCAGAGGGTTAGCAAAAGCACTGGGCTCAAGCACTCGGGGAAACGGCTTGGGCAAAGCATGAGTGCCCCAGCTTCTCCTGCATGTGGGATGCAGTGTTTCTCCACTTACCAGAGCAGGAGCCCTGCCCTTCACCCCTGCCCGCCAGGGCCGTCTGGCAGGGACACACACGTTTGAAAGAGAGCCCTCTAGTACATCCTCATGTGGATTTCTCACCTCCAACCCAAAACCCGTCTCTCCCACCTGGTTCGCCATCTTCCCTCCCACACTTCTCCCTTCAGCCTAAGCCCCCGAGTTCTCCAGTGCCACCACCACTGGGGACTCCCAGCTCAGAATCTCATTCATCTTTGACGCCTCCTCCTTCCCCTCCTGGGCCAAAGTCTGCGGTCACGGTCACATCTCACTGACTCTCCCCCATTCTGCATCTACCTCGTGATGCCGGGGTTGACTGCAGGTCCCTGGACCTGTCACCTTCCTGGTCACCCCACCCACAGCCCCCAGGTTAATTTTCTTTTCTCAAAGACCAGCAAGGAATGCCCGACTGCGTGCCGGGCAGGACAGCCTGGCCTGCAAAGCTTCTGCCAGGCAGCTTCGCCTTGGGTCTGGCCAGCACGCCTTCTGTGCTGTGCTCCTTGCCCAAATCCGTTTCTCGGTGCAAACCTTTGCTCACGGCACTCGCGCCAGGCCCGCGTTCTGCTGGCTTCTCGTGCAGGCGTCTCCTGCCCTTTCCTCTTGTATTTTCATGTCCTAGTGGTCTGCACCTCTCATTCTGGTTTGAACAATGGCTGATTCCACTCCATTAATCACACACTGATTTTGCCGGTCTAAATGGCAACTAAATGCAAATTAGGATTTAGCACGATGGGCTCTGGTCCTTCGGCCAGTTTTCAAACAAACAGCTTGAGTTCTTCTCTCCTGTAGGCATGAGGCCAGGGGTTGGGGGATGGCAGCCTCACGCAGATCTTGGGCTGACACGTTGCTGAGGGGGGCAGGTGTGCACCACGTAAGTCCCACTGTAGCTACTTCCGTACTGTTTCCAACAGCAGGGATCCAAAGGAAGATGCCACTCTCCTGCACCCTACTTGCCTGGGTCGCCTGCTGTGACCCCCCACAGGCATCTGGGCGGGGTTTATTGTTTCACGAGAGCGGCTGGGGTCCCAGACTAGTTTGTGAATCAGAATTAGGGAGCAGCACCCTTCCCTGCTTGGAACCCTGCAGTGCTCCTGTTCACACACAGTGAACGCCCAGAGTGCTCTGCGGGCCCTGCACTCGGTCCCCACTGCCGATGTCACCTCTCCCTGGCGGCCCTCTTCTCCGAGGTGTTCCTGTGGCTCACTCCCTCGCCTGCTTCAGGGCCTGGCTCCCACACTCGCACCGTCACAAGCTCCCGTGTCCCTGGGATGCTGTTGCCTCTGTCCCTTTCTCCACCCCCCCTTCACCGTGACTACGCAAGCCCTGCAAGGACGGGTACGAGGGCTGCTCCGCGCACCGACGCATCCCAAGCACCCAGCTTGCCCCGCGTGTGGCCGTGGAAGAATAAACTCTCCAGTAGCCAGCTGTGCTTCAGGGGTGAGCCTTGCCCCAGGCAGGGCCGTCGTGCAGCAGACACGCAACCGGGGACCTCACTGCACTGCTGTGCGGGACAGGAGCACAACAGCGGCTTGGGGCGGGGCTTATACTGGGTTTCTTTCACCTCAGGCCCTCTGGTGATTCCCCACCCCCCAAGTCCCAAGGAGGGTTACTCTTCTCTGGGCATCTTTTGGCTACTCGGGCAGCAGAAGACTTTGGCATGGAGATTGCTGAGCAGGAGGCCGAAGAAGCAGGTGCAGGAACCCAGCTCACTCGCAGGCACAGGGGCTGTGGTGTGGAGTGGAGCATCCTCCCCTCTGTCTCCAGCTGTCAGGGTCAGCCAGTAGCCCCTGTCTGTGCCAGCAGCGCAGCCGCAGCTGGGGGCCCTAAGGGCTCCCTCACGCCCTCGGAGAGGGGGCGGCCACACCCCTTTCCTGAAGGCTCCCTTCTGGGGTCTCAGCCTGGCTGGCGTGGTAGAGCTGCAGGGACTCCGCATTCCTTTGGGGCCCTGAATGACCTGGGTGGCTGGTGGGGATGAGGAGGCTGGATGGCTCTCAGGTGGCGTGAGGGGTGAGGGTTTACAGCCTGGATCTAGGCTCTGGGAGGTCTGGGGTCAGAGACAATAGGGACCGGGCTGGCTTCCAAAGCCCTTGCCTGGCGCTTCCTCGGGCCGGAAGATCAGGGCGGGAAGCCGTGTGAGAACTACACCTCCCAGCACGCAGTGCGGCCGGCCGCAGGGCGGGTGGCGCTCCTGTCCCCTGCAGCTGCAGCAGCTGTGCCTCTTGTCAGGCCAGCAGGCAGGGCCTGGGTGAGCTGGAGGAGGACGGGTCCTCCCGGAGGCCGGGCCACAGCTGCGCTCTTGCGCTCTTAGCCGCGCGGCCATTTGTCAGCCTGCGGGAGGGCACGTCTGGCTCCGGCTCAGCCCTGAGGACTCCTGTGTGCACGCTCGGCAAGCAGGCAGACAGCAGCTCCTGGGAACGCACACGGAGGTGCATACCCACACTCAGGCCCGGGCATGCACGCTCGCAGGCTCACACCCCCTGCCCTTCTGCGTGGACACCCACCTGGAAAGCCCACCACCTGTGGTCTGAACACCTCCCCGCCCCACAGGCAAACTGCTGCCATCACCCCCCTGGGATAGGCCTGGATCTCAGTGGAAACGCTAGTGTCTCCTTCCCTGCCCTGCCCGTGGGAGTGGCAACAGGCTAGGTTCCTGCCAGAGGCTTGGCCACTCTCTTTCTGACACCCCAGGGGTAGATGCTGCCTCATTTGGTCTCCTATAGTCTGTAAGCACCACAGCCTGGGTCCCTTCCCCTCCCTCGGGGTTCCCTCCCGAGGGAGAAGGGAGAGGTGCTTGGCTGGACCCCCCATGGCCGACAGAGAGATGGCCCAGCCCCTTCCATACCTGCCCACTGTGCTACCCCTGGAACGAGCCCCCTGCCTGGCTGCCCTGACCCCCACCACTGCTATCCACGAGTCTTTGCAGGAACCCGGCACACACACACACACACATACACACACACACTTGTCCCTATGGCGCGCCCCCAAGGGCTGGCTGCTCCTGCCCCACCCCGGCTGCTCTTCATTTCCCTGTCCAGATGTGCCCAGGGCAAAGCTATTACCCAAGTGGATGGCCAGAATGAAAAATTAAATTTCCACTTATCCCTCTCGCTCATGCATTCCCTGCAGAGCGGCAGGGCTGGGAGCCCAGGGCAGGGTGGGCACGGGCTGACGTGGGATGAAGGGTAGAGAGGTCAGCGGCTGCGAGGAAATGACTTGGAAGCACGGACAGCCTTGAAAAGGCTCAGGCCCCTGCTGAGTCCTCCGGAGCGGGGGCGGCCCCCAGAGACCCTCCCCCGGGGAGGGCCAGCCACACAGCCCCTGTGCCCGTCAAGGACTCAGTGTGTGTCATGCTTTCCTGGCTCCTGCTTAACTGCGCTGTCACCAATGCAGTCATGTTGCGTCCCTCTTCCAGCTGGAGCCCTGGGTGGCCCCGGACCATCTGTCCTCCAGGCCACACTGCTAGTGTGATGATGGCTGTGGGCAGGGTGGCACATGCTGCCACCTGGGCCTGACCACAGATCCCACGGAAGGTGCCACAACAGCCGTGTCTCCTCCCTGCTCCCTGCACTTGAAGTCACCTGCCACCCCCTCCTCCGCCACTGCTGGGGGGGCTTTGGGAGAAGAAAGACCACTCCCCTCCTGCCCTGGCCCTGCCTCTGGCTGGGCATGGCACACCGCCTGGCCTGGAAGGGCCTCTGGTCGGCCCTCTCATGCTGGGGAGCAGGGCAGGTTGCTCCTGGTTTTCTTTCTGCAGACAGCCTGAGTGGTGGAGGGGAGGCCGTGGGGGCGGTCAGTGGTCCTCCATGGGGGCGGGGGAGGGGGACGCTGGCCTGCAAGACTGCGAGAAGCCTTCAAGGAGAGGCACTTGTGGGCTCCAGACTCGGAGGCTGTGGCTCAGAGGAGTAAAGACACTTCCCAGGGGCCCGGAGCCAGGAGGAGCCAGCAGGTGGTGGACGCCCCCAGCCTGCGTCTGTGCTACCCCTGGAACGAGGCTGCCTCCCTGCGGGCGCTCAGGCACCTGTGAGGCTCCCACTGCACTTTGCTCAAACTCCAGGTGACGGAAGTGTGGTTCTGGCCCCTGTCTTCTACTTGCCAATCTGTGGGAACCCCGAAGCCTGAGCCCGAGAGGGAGGGGCTGCCTTGATTTCCCCAGGCTCCAACCCTGATACTTGTACACCCCTCCCCCCACATGCCCAACCACTCCTAGCGCCAAGGGCAAGAAGCTGAAGGAGGCAGCAAGGGACTCAGCTCTGCCTAGACAAGAGGGGTGACAGAAGGCCCAGGACAGCTCGGGGCTGCTTTTTCTGCAGCTGGGCCTTAAATGTACCCAAACATGATGAGGTCCCTCAGTCCTGGGACATAGGCTCCAAGCTAAGGGCTTGCCCAGTAATAGCCAGCAGTTCCTGGTGTCCCTGAGGTCACGTCCTGGGCATGTTACTTCCTGTTCATCACTGCAGTAGATGGAGGGCACTTCCTGTTCTAGGAGGTTCTTCCTGTTACAGGCTCAGGTGCAGTGTCAGAGGCACGCCTCCCAGGGACACTGTGGGTAGTTTCACCCTCCACCGGTCTGTTCCAACATCTCTGCTCACAATAATGCTGATGACGCAGGTCACAGTGGCAATCGTGGCGCACTGGCCGTCTGCTGGCCGACTGCTGGCCAACCGACCTGTGCTAGGGTGCTTCGCCTGTATTACATATGTACCCTTCTGACAATGGCCCTCTAAGGGTTGTCCCGGTTTTCCAGGGACAAGGCGGGCAGCCATCAAGCCCATACTCCTTCCATGTCCCATGCAAACTTCCTCCCAGAACACCCCGGCCCCTGCTCTCCTTTTGTCCTGAGGGGTCAGGCGGTTCAGCACCCCCATCTGCACTGAGAGGGACACAGCTGCGGGGCACGGAAGCACTGTGGCCCCAGGCTGCATCCTTACCTTCTCTCTGGTCTCCCTGCTTGGGGTGAGCCTCATCCTGCAGCCCACGCAGGATGCAGGGCTTGAAGGAGGCGAGCTGCACCTGCACACCTGCCCCCACCCCGCCAGCCTCCCAGCAGTACCACCAGCAGGCTCTGGCCGCCGCCCCTCCCCAAACCAACAAGGCTGTCCGTAGCACATCTGCCCCTCTCTGTCTGGGTACCACCCTGACCATCTTACATACAACATTAAGTGTAGCAAAGAGAAAAGAAAGCAAGACCAACAGCCAAAGCGCAAGAGCAAACCAGAGAGGAAGAGAGAGGGTAGAGAAGCTGGCTTCCCACCATAACGTCACCCAAAGGTGGGGGATATGGGTAGTGGAGGAGTCGTGGGTGGGGAGAGGCAGGAGGGGGAGGTAGCGTCCTACCTGTGATATTGACCTCCACCTGGCCAGAGCGAGTGCCGATGGGGTTGGTGGCCTCACAGACATAGGTCCCGGCCAGGCTGTAGCTGATGGGACCCCTGAAGAAGAGGGTTCTGTTCTGGGCCTCCACGCCCTTGGGGAGGGAGCCATTCAGCCTGCGGGGATTGGGAGACATGGCCGAGGGTTACGAGTGTCGGTCCCAGGAAGCTGCCCCGGGGTCACCCCCCAGGCTCCAAGCCTATCAGTCCTACGCTGAGTTCACATGGCAGGCTGTGTCTCAGAAGGAGAGAGACCAGCAGCAGGAATCTACTGCACTAGGCACCTCTATAGCATTCAGGGTTTCACATGTGATCATCCTGACACTGAAGTGTAGGCAGCGCAGGTGGGGACAGGTCCCACGTCACAGAAGCAGCATGAGGTTCAAGGCCAGGGAAGCAAGGCTGGCTCTCTGGACTCCAAGGGAGTGCTCTTGCTACTACTTGTGGTCCCTGGTTGCAGGTCCTTGGTCTCTTGGGTAACTGGGTACTGGTCCAGATGCCTTGGTCCTAGCCCCCCATCTCCTGAACCAGAACCACTGGCAGGAAGGCCTGGGAAGCCACTCAGGTCTGAGATGGGAACTGTTGTGTTCCGTTTCCCCGTTGTCTTTTTGCACGGCATGTCACCAGACTTTCCCACGTGGGTTTGCCACGGATAGGGGACGACCTGCCTTCCTCCTGGCTACAAAGCCATCATTTTGATGAGCCTGGCAGATCCTGGGTTGCAAAGCTGAAACCAGCACGCAGGCTCGGGCCACTCCCACCCTCAGAAGCATTTTGTGTTTCAGGAAGCGGAGGCTAACAGGTGAAACCCGCCAGTGCCCTCCCCTTCCTGGAGGGAGGGTTCAGACTCCCTCGGGGTGCCGTCTCCTGCCACCCAGCTCCACTTGGCTTCCCCCATGCCCTGTCTTTCTGTGTGCTGCATGCAGCCTCCCTGGGAGGAAGCTCAGCCCAGCCATCAGAGCTGGCTGGAGGAGGGACAGGCCCCTCTCAGGACCAAAGACAGCCCCAAAAGGGGATGATGGGACCCCACTTCTAGAAGGCTGATGTCTGCTCCTCCCCGAGCAGCCCGGGGCTGGGGGGCGCTGGGAACAAAGAAAGATCTGGGCTGCTCCAGAACACCAGCCTCCCCAGGGATACCTCGATAATAATAAATACTGGGGGTTGGGGTGGGAGTGACTCAGGCTGAATCACCAAAGGAAAATGGCAAAATCCTTTATCAGGGAGCAGGAGGGAGGCAGGTCACGAGGGAAGCCCCCCCTGGCACAAGGGTTTGTCCCGCTGACCCTGACACTCAAACATGCAAGTGTCCATGTGACTGTATGAGTGGGGGGTCCTCTCACAGCCGCGCCCCTTCTCCCTGAGAAGCCTGAGCTCAGACCCCAATGTCTTTCCTGCTTGCGGCTCCTGCAGGTAGGCCCCTGTGACCCAGTAAGGTATCTTCCCGAGCGGCCAGCTGGCCCTGCCGCACTCACGTGGTCCAGTGGTACTCGGTGGCGGGGGGGTTGGCGTCGGCTTTGCACGTGAGCTTCACGTCCATCCGCTGCAGGTACCAGTTGCCGTCAAACCCCTCGATGGTCACCTCGGGCTCATCTGTGGGGCGAGGGATGATGTTGGAAGAGGGTTGGGGAAGGGAGCAGAGTTTAAGGCGAGGGAGTCCTAGATGGGAAGGGATGGAAGTGATGTGGGAACAGCTGGAGGAGAGGGCGGGGCGAGTGGGAGCAGACCCAGCAGGGGAGGAGAGGGGGGAGGAGGAGGAGGGGGGAGGAGTGAAGGCAAGGAGGGTGGCTGCGAGGACAGCCCCGGGCCCCGCCCCAGCTCCCGGCCCCCGCCCCGCTCACACTGCACATTGAGGGTGAGGCTCTCCTTGAAGCGGTCCATGTGGTAGTTGACGATGCAGGCCAGGGTCTGCCGGTGGGCCTCCCTGCTGGGCACCAGGCGGTACCGGCTGATGACGGTCACTGTGCCGTTGGGGTTCCGGATCTCCTGGTATTCTGCCTCACCCTTTAGCCGCGTCTCCCAGGACACCACGCTGGGGGGCTTCCCGTTGGCCGAGGTGCAGGTGGCCACCAGGACCTTGTCGTCCTGCCCCTTCCTGGCTCGGAGCACTGCGTGGGTGCCCTCGATCCAGTTGGTGGGCTTGGCTGCGGGAACCAGAGAGTGCCATGGGACCAGGTGCACGGCCTGGAGCCCTGCCTCTCAGCCTGCTTCACTGGAGCCCCTTCACTGGAGGTCTCGCCTTTCTCCTCCCTGCTCGCTTTTGTTAGGCTTGCACCTTCCTGGAGCCTTAGCAGGTGCAACCAGACTGCATGGACAGCTGGTTCCCCCATCGTGGTGCCCAGTGCTGTTGCTGTGTCCTGACAAAGGACTCCAGAGTGGGGATCCAGCCTGAGCCCTGACCTCACCTCCATGCAGAGCTAGGGTTCCCACCCCTGATCCCCAGGGAACTGGAGGCACCAGGCCCACCCTAGGAGCCTGTCTGGGGCCACGGAGGCAGGCAGTGAGGATGGCCCAGCTCCCAGGACTCTGGCTGAGGGTGGGGGGAGGGGGCGGCTTACCCATCACAGTGAGATTGAGCTGGCTCTCGCGATTGCCCGTGGGGAAGGTGGCAAACTCGCAGATGTAGACACCCTCGTCCTCCAGCTCCAGGCGGGACAGGCGGATGGTGCCATCCGTGAAGGAGGGCCGCAGGAACTCCACGCGCTCGCGGTAGGGTGCCAGCACCGACACCCCCATGGCCGGGTTGTAGATGGCCACGTTCTGCTTGGAGCCATTGGTCGCCTTCTGCCACGTGACCTGGGTGATCTTCACGCTGGGCAGCGGGTTGGCAAAGCTACAGTGCAGCACCACGTCTGTGCCGATGAAGCCATACATGGAGTCGTTCACCTGCACCACCTGCGTATGGGCGCCTGGCCCAAGGAGACGGCAGAAGTGGTCAGTCCAGGCCCGCACTCTCCCACCCCTCTCATTCCCAGTGCGCTTGTCTTTTCATTTATAGCAGTCATTATTCTCTTTATACTTGTTATAAAAACATTAATTACTTGTTATAATACTCTGGGCCATACTGAAAATAAAGAGAGGAGGAAAAGGCAACACCCTGTGATCCAGGTGCTTAGAAAGATCACTGATCATCCTGTTGTACCTGTCTTCTCACTCCCTCTCTCTTCATCCATCCATCCATCACCCATCACCCATCCATCACCCATCACCCATCCATCACCCATCCCCCACCCATCCCCCATCCATCCATCCATCCATCCTCCACCCATCCAGCATGCATCCATCCATCCGTCATGCATCCAGCTATCTAGCCATCTCTGTTTTTTGAACAAATCAGACTCATATTGGACAGACTGCTCTGTAAGCTGATTTTCCACCCAGGGATGTATTGTCAATAGGACTCTATGCTAGTGAATACATATGTCCACTCCCCCATTTATGATGAAGGCTCAAAGCACTGCTTTCCAAGTAGAGCCCCAGTTTAGAAGCCACGAGCTGCCTGAGCTCCCTGGGTCACATTTCCCTCACTGATAGGTGGGGCAGAAAATCTAGTTCTGTCTGTACCTCAGAGCGTTGCTGGGGAACCCATTGGAATGATTGACGGAGAAGTGCGTGGGGGCAGGAAGCTGTGGGTGACCATGAGGGTACGCAGCGGCTGACACTGTGGCCGCCTTTGCTGTCTGTCCTCCATGGCCGACTCCCCCACTCCCTGGGATGCACTGGCTGGGCCCCCTTCCCCGGCCAGGCAGAGGAAAGCAGGTGTTGCCCAAGGCCGGGCCTCCACTGGCTCCCTGTCACCTTCACAGTTAAGTCTTAATGTCTGCGCTTTTAACATCTGCGTCCACCGGCTTCGGTCCACGTCCATCTCTAAGCTGTGCTTTCCAATGCTATCAGACTGGGCCTGGCCTCAGAACACAGCACGTTTCCGCGTTTCCTTCCCGCCCTCCTCCCACGTATTCAACCACTACTTGCTGAGGGACTCTACTCCAGGATCGATTCTCAGCACTTCGGTCCTATCAACGAGCAATTCAGTCCTGGCTGCCACGGAGCACCGAGCACCCACACAGCATCTGCAATGCTCACGCAGGTCCCTCAGCCCAGAGGCCTTTCCCTGCTCTGCCATGGACCGCTGCTGAGGCCACCTCCTTGGGCAGCTTCCCTGACCCTCACGGCCAGAGCCAATCTAGCCCCGCCAAGTGTGGTCGTTTTCTCCCTTGCAATATGGATGTGAGCCCCTCCAGGCAGGGCCTGTGTCTTTCCCATCTATGCATCCCCAGTGCCCAGCCAAGCATCTGGCCTATAGTAGGTGCCAGTAACAATTTGCTGCTAGACAAATTGCAATGGAAGCCGAGAGTAGAGATTTGCAGGAGGGAGTGATTGGTGGCACCAAATGAATGAATGGATAGATTCCCTCCGGTCTCCCCACTGGCTGGTTTATCCCATCCCCAACGCCCTGTTTGAGCTTCCTCACCCCTGACCACGATGCAGCTCCCTTCACTTGGGGCAGCCATTCCAGCAGAAGGCTCTGCCTCCAGCTGTCCCCCAGCCCCTGCTCATACCCAAGCCCTGGCGAGCCTCAGAGCAGGGTCACTGCCACACACTGGCTCACTTCCCCTCCTTTTACCCTGACTTCACTCAGTCTACTAAGCACCATCAGGAACACTGGCGACACCAAGCCCTGCACTGACCCAGGTGCAGAAGGATGGCCTGCATGGCCCCTAGGGACTCTGGGACCCAAGACCCAGGGGCGGGGAGGGAACTAGGGCTTCCATTTGCCTCATCTACATGATAGAGACCTGGGTGTAGCTGCAGGTTCCTCTGTGGGCACCACAGCCTGTGGTCAGTACTGGAAGCTGCCCTCCACTCTTCCCCTTGACCGGGAGCAGGTGGCCCTGAGTCCCCAGTGCCCAGCACACACTCAAGAAATGCCTGCTAAAGAAATCTATCCTCAGCCCCTGCCTTGCTCTGAGTTCCCCTGATGTTCCCCCTTCTCTGTGCCTGTTCACATCCCCCCTCCCCAAGCCCACGGAGTACCCCACCTGCATCCCTCTAGCTGTCCCCTTGGCCAGCGTGTGGGTGCTCCAGATCTGATACTACACCCAGCGCCTCCCCTGGCACAGGCGGTGTGCGCTGGGAGTAGCAAGAGAGGAGCACCTGCCTTTTGCTTGCTGTTGGAACTTGGCCAATCTCTTCCCCTTCTCCGAGCCCCATTCCCCTCCTCTGTAAGGGAGCAGGCTGGACTCCTTAGTCTCAGTGGTTCCTTCTGGCCCTAACTGTCTGGTGGCAGCCCAGCCCATGGCCCCACCCTAGGAGCAGTCTCAGAGTGAGGTCAGTGGGCCAGACGGCCCAGCACTCTTGCTGACTGGCCGGCTGGCAAGCAGCTAAACCCGTGGCCCTCCCTGGCAGGATAACTGGTGCTCCCTGCCCCCTCCCCGGGCCTCCACTCCCCAAGCTTGCTGGAGGCTGCCCAGCACTGAGATAATGTGCTCATAATTGGGGAACTTGCGCCATACAGAGCTAGGAACAGGAAAAGCCAGTTGGGAGGACTTGGGCTACAGGTGAGGGTGGGGGGAGGGGTGTGGGAAGTGTGAGGCACCTTGGGATTGGTGCCAGGCATGGTGGGCCTGCAAGGGGGCACAGCCCACTGAGCTCGCAGGATCCTGTCCCCTCGTGTCCTGAAGATGTGGGGGTCAGCGGGTGCGTCCCTGGTGCATAGGCCAGCATTTGTTTGCTTTGCCTTCAGAGCAGTGTCAGTGCCAGGAGGGGAGCTCGCTGACAGTGCCTGGCTGGGGGCTGGGGAGGATGCTACAAGGAGGTCAGGCGCCCCAGGGACCTCCCTGCATCCATCCATCTCACAGGCAGGGCGGCTCTTCCCTACCCCTGTGTCTTTTTTTTTTTTTTTTTTTTAAAGGGGTAGTGGTGGTGGTAGGGTTCTCTCCTCTCCAAAAGCAATTACAGGGCAGGCCAGGGGGCAGTTCCCAGTGTGCCCAGCACTGTGCACATGAGGCAGATGCCCCTGCTCCCGCCCTCTGTCCCAGTGATGGGCAGGGTGGGGAGGTCCCCTAAGGAGCTGGCAGACTCACCTGTGCCCTTTGCCTCTGGTCCCAGCCGACTGCTAGCAGGGCCAGGGGAGTGCCCCTGGGGGTGGACATCCTGGACTTCTGGAGGTGGGAGGGGCTGAGGACTTCGCCTGCCCACCCTTCCTCCTGCTCACCCTACTCCTGATGACTTCTCTCCAGGCTCAGGGATTTGGAACCCAAGCTTGTGGCTTGGTCCCAGGATGCAGGGTAGGGGGTGAATATTCCTAGTCCCTGTACTGGACAAACCCTGGGTGGCTGTGACGGGCCAGGCCACAGTGTGGAGTCCATGAGGAGTGCAGTTCACTCCTGAAAAAGGAGAGAAGGAGCTGAGGGCAGGTCTCCCAGAACAGGTGGGCCCTGGGCCTCACCCGCAAGGCCTGAGGCACAGGCTCGGGTTGAGGGAAGCCTGCTCCACGGTGGGCAGGAGCAGAGCGCCCTGGGGACTGCACAGCCCCTCTCCTTGCTGGGCCAAGCTTCTCCAAACCCTCCAGCCCCAGTGACCTGAAAACTGATGCTGGCAGCTCCCAGCCTCAGACGGGCTGTTCTGCGGCCCCCGCTGCAGGTGCAGGAGCCGGGCAGTGCGCGTTTGCATCCCACCTCTGCCATCCACCAGCTGTCTAACCTCGGGCAGACGACAACCTCTGTGGCTCGGGTTGCACGGAGGCTGTGCTGCTCATGTGCAAAATGGGGGTTTTCTGCTAGTGAATACCTGCTCTACAAAGCCGCAGCAGGATCAGATGAAAGCTGCCCTTAGCACACATCACATGCTCAGGAGCCGTCAGTGACTGTCACCACCGCCACAGTCGTCCCTGGCGCCATCATCTACGAAGCAGCAACCCCCACCAGCACCCATCCCAGGGTGAGTGCTGACCTGGGTGCTACCAGGCACCCCTCTTCCAGGACGCTCTGCAGGTGCTCACCCCTTCTCCCCTCATCTGCTGCTTACACACACACCCCAAGAGCACACAGCATGCAGCTGCACTCCTTTATTTTCTGCCTCTTGACATGTATGTCATCTGTCTCCTGTCTCCCAACAGATCGTGAGCCGCTGGTGGAGGGAAAAGGAACAGGCTTAGCCACGGGCCGTGCTGACCAAGTCACGCCTGGTGCTGGCAGGGCCAGGGCTTGGAGAACCAACCCCCTGCTGACCCTCCCGAGTGCCCTGGGCTGGCAGCGCTGACCACAGCTCGCTCTCTCTCCTTCCTGCAGGTGCCCCCGCCCAGAGCTGAGACCACTAACATGGGACAGGCTGGAGCTCGCCAGCCTATGTCATCCACCACTCTCAAAGTCTGCAGGGGCAAGGCCACTTGCTCAGGGACACAGGACAGCAGCCCCAGCCCAGGGCACTTCCCACCTGGCCACTAACATGGACTCGGGTTCAACCTCCATGGAACTGGGGTCTGGCCCTGGGTCTCTCCCAGCCTCCATCAGCATGGGGGCAAAATGAGGAGGACACCAGTCACAGTAGTGCAGCCACAGCACCAGCAGGGGACACCCAAGTGGAGGGTGCCTGCAGGGGACTGCTCCGTGCACAGCAGGAAGAGACAGAGAGGCAGGAGAAGAGGGGTGGAGACACCCATGGGAACCTATGCCCTCCGCAGAGGGACTCTTTCATCCCAGGGATATCAAAAGAATAAGTCTGTGTTCTCCACGGCCCCACTATGGGCCCCAGGGCTTGTGCCCAGGTGCCTCAGTTTCCCCACTCGAGCTCAAGTCGGGCCATTCTGGTGGCCTGGCTTCCCAGAAGTGCCGAGCCAGCAAGGCCGGTGGCAGGCCGGCCCCCCGCGACGTCACAGACCTGCAGAAGCCTGAGCTCAGCAACAACACAC